CTTTTTTACACTGAAGTTCAAAACTTATCGCTTAGATATCTAATGACTAATCTTAGAAGCTGTTAGGTAAAAAATAAAAAAAGAAAAAAAAAATAAAATTTAAGTAAAGCTTACAAGCAAGGTAAGGGGGAGTTCATATAAAGAATGGGGAGCTATGGGGCAGCGTTTGGGGATAAGGATATTTTTAAATTATTATTTGCAAAATTTGGGGCTCAAGCCTTTTTTAAATTTTATATCCGCTTCGAAACCAATTCTAGAGACCTCTTTCACCTCTCTTTTATTAAGCAACGAAGGCTTGGTGATTTTCTTCCCAGTTTTATTTGTGAATCACTTCTCACAATTTTTGCTTCCAGTGTTACCATTTCCTTCACAAATCAAATCCCATGTCCTTTTATGCCCCTCCACCCCACCTCATTGAACTCCCATTTAAAAGCATTATTTGTACAAAATACAATTATACAAACTAATTCGTTATAGTTAAGCAATAGGCTAATAATTTTTTAAAGCATATTTTCAAATATTTCTTCATTAGTAGTATTCTCTCGTCTCTTGCCATCCGCTTCTTACTTATTTAGTTTGGATATCACCTGTGACATTAAAATAGTATAAAATTGTATTTTTTCTTTACGATTTTGTTTTTTTTTTTTTTTTCTTATTTAGAGTAACTAAAAATTTTGCAGATTTCAGTATTTCATTATTACTTTTTTGTGATTTGCAGGCTTGTAATTTTGTTATTTTGAATTACATATTTGTGGGTGTGTGTCGGGGTGTTTTTTTAAAGCATTTGTGGCATTTTTGTTGTGGTTATTGAAATTTAAGCGTTGCTTGGTAAGTGTTGATATAGGGTGTTTAGAGCGAACTTTTGGGACAGAAATTTTCAAAAAAATTGTAATTAAAAACGTATCTAAAAATTAAGGAAAAATCTGATTTAAAGTCCAGTTGTCCTGTGGGCGGTAAAGAAAAGAATATCTAAAACATGGAGATATAATTCAAAAATTCTATAAATTTTTTTTCAACCTCCAAAAGTCCTTAAATTTCCAATTGCATGGAAGATTTTCAATTGTCTTTTTATATCGGAAGTAGGGTCATTTCGAAACAATCTCAGATGGGGCCACCTGCAAAAAATTTGCTTTCTAATGTTAAATTTGTCGAAAATGGCTGAAACGTGAACATTTCGTATAGAAGGGTCCCACATCTCCCAACCTGCTCACGTTTCTGGGTGGAAGTTTTTTTCAATCTTGGTCGACATATGACCTACACAAGTTCCACGATAGGTTATCTACATTAAGAATATTTATAGAAAATATTTATACCCTACAACACTATGTGTTGGGGGTATTAAAAGTTCTACTGGGCCAAAAATTATGTAACACCTCGAAATATTGGTTTCCCACATAGGAAAGTATATATGGATCTTCCTATCCCGCCGAGCTAAGTCGATCTAGCTATGTATGTCCGTTCGTCCGCCTGTCCATGTTAATTTGTTATCACTCTACAGGTCGCAATTATTGCCCGATTCTCACGAAATTTAGAATGGAGGTGAGGTTAGAGCCAGAATAGAAGTCTATTACATTTGGAGATTATGGCATGATATTTAGGGGTTGAAATGGACCAGATACTGAACATTTTCCAAATTTTGCAGTTGCTCTACAGGCAATTATAGACCAATCGAAGCGGAAGTTAACATAGAAGTTATATTCGTTGACGAATATGACCAAATATCGTAGACAAGCAATTAATATAGAGAAGTCTAAATTTAGGGATACAGAGGGGCCTCTTGCTTTTGAAGATAATCGCAAAATATTTCGGGGGTTCAAATTAACCAAAAACGGAAAAAAATCCTGGTCACACAATTTAAGCCAATTGACACGCCTGTAAAGAGCACGACGGAGTGCATAAATATTGGGCAAATATCCCTGGTCAAAATGATAAATCTTCCCAAATGGACTTGGACATAAGGCGGCTTCTAACATATTGTAGTGTTGTAGGGTATGACATGGTCGGCCCCGCACAACCATAGCCTTTGCTTACTTGTTTTTTTTTTTTTTTAATTTAGTTCATTGCATTTTTTGTATGATTTTTAAGTAGCGAGTTCTTTACACCACTCCTGAATTATTAGAAGATTTTGTAGCAGTTTCGGATTTTGTCTGCCGAAGATTCGTCAACAAAATTATTCATTAAAAATCCTTGTTTAATCCTCAAAAAAAATACAAAAATTCCAGAATGATCCTTGCAAAATAATCCATAAAAATCATCGTCTAAACCTTGGAAAATATTTCTAAAAAAATCAACGTTCCTGTTCAGCAAGGTCCTTGGAAAATATTCTAAAAAAATACACGTTTGATCCTTGGAAAATATTCTTAAAAAATCCACATTTGATCCTTGGAAAATATTCTTAAAAAATCCACGTTTGATCCTTGGAAAATATTCTTAAAAAATCCACGTTTGATCCTTGGAAAATATTCTTAAAAAGATCCACGTTTGATCCTTGGAAAATATTCTTAAAAAGATCCACGTTTGATCCTTGGAAAATATTCTTAAAAAGATCCACGTTTGATGTCATCGAAAAAAAAATTAAAAATCCACCTTCGTGTCGATAAAGGTCTTTAAAAATATCGTCAAAAAATCCAAGTTTGTGTCGGTGAAGGTCCTTCAAAAAATTTTCCTAAAAAGTCCAATTTTGTGACCAGAAATATTGCTTACGGCCTTTAAGGTCCTTTAAAATATTTTTCTAAAAAATTCACGTTCTTGCATCTCAAGTCCTTTAAAGATGCATCCACGTGTATTGCCATTAGGGTCCTTGAAGAGGACCCTTGATCCTTGGGTTATTTTAATGAAAAAAAACAAGTAAAAAAGCTGTAAGTTCGGCCGGGCCGAACTTTTAATACCCTCCACCATTTGGTACAAATTTGGCAATTTCCAAAAAATAAAACCCGTTAAAAATTCTGTTAAAATCTTAAAAATACCGAATGCTTATACGACGACGTGGGCCTGCATAGGCAACTTTTATCATAAATTATTACAATATTTAAATGCGAAACTTGAAGAAAAATCTGTTTATAATGTAGCTAAAATCGTCAAAATACCGAATATGGGGGGTACCGTTATATGGGGGCTATACGAAGACGTGGACCTGCACAGACAATTTTCTGGCATGGGCTGAAGTATCCATTACGAACTTCATATACGAAATTTGAAACAATCCCTGTAAATAATGTCGCTAAAATCATTAAAATACCGAATATCGGGGGGTACCGTTATATGGGGGCTATATGAAGACGTGGACCTACATGGCTCATTCTTTGACTTTGGATAAAGTATCCATTACGAACTTCAAATACCAAATTTGAAACGATTTCGGTAAACAATGTCGCTAAAATCATCAAAAAAACCGAATATCGGGGGGGTACCGTTATATGGGGGCTACAGGAAGACGTCGACCTGCACAGATAATTTTCTGTCTTAGGCTGTAGCATCCATTACAAACTTCAAATGCCAAATTGGAAATAATTCCGGTGAATAATGTCGCTAAAATCATCAAAATACCGAATATCGGGAGGTACCGTTATATGGGGGCTATATGATAACTTGGACCTACATGGCCCATTTACGAACTTAACCTGCCTACTGGGAAAAAATACATGTGTGCAAAATTTTAGCCTTCTATCTCAATTTGTTCGAAAGATAGCGTGATTACAACAGACAGACAGACAGACAGACGGACAGACAGACAGACAGACAGACACACAGACAGACAGACGGACATGGCTAAATCGTCTTAGAATTTTACGCTGATCAAGAATATATATACTTTGTTGGGTCTGACATGAATATTTCGAGGAGTTACAAACGGAATGACAAAATTAATATACCCTCCATAGTATGGTGGAGGGTATAAAAAACGGTGAAACGATTTGAGTTGCCTAGCATTCGGCGCATGAAAATATCAAAAGTTTTAGTAATGTCCTAAAACTCCCGTCAAAATACTGGGATCGGAGATAAAAAGCAGGCCGTATACAAAGCTTCAGAACAATCTACACTCATTGACTTGGGAGAAGCTCTCATCTACTCTCCGGGATTGTTATAAAGGAGAGATTCTCCCATCTCACTCAAAAGTTCAAGATAAGCTCACTAGAAACACCCTTATCCACACACTGTGCTTTGCCGTAGGTCTTCGGAGTCGAAGTCGCTTTCTCATACAAGAGTAGGGGTCGAGATCGTAGTTTGTGACTAAAAACTCGAGTCGAAAAAAGCCGATGCTCTGAAAAATAAAAATTAATAACATTTCCGCTCTCCAATTACATTTTGAGACGCAGATTTCAACAACAACTCCCTCTGTTGTAGCTCGACTCCGAATCTTTCTGTTGCGGTGTATTAGCTGTAGTTTTAATGTTATTGTTGTTGCTTTTTTAAACTATTTTCTGTATATTTATAGGAATTTTGATATGTAAGCCTATTGTTTGTAATACATATTTATAAGGGTAGGTATGTGTGTATAGATGTCGACCGAGAATCGGAGTCTTGGAAAGTCTTCAAAATCAAAATCTTTTAATTGTAAGATCTCTAAGAGGTCTACTAAGGCAGAAAACGCTAAGGAGATCTCCTATAGATAAAGGTCATTTGAGGTAATTTTATATTTGGAAGACCCCTCTAAAGGTCAGGTTCAGGGGTAGACGACGTCTCAAAGGTCTTCATTGGGTAAAAGACTTTTGAAAAGACTCTATCTATGACTATGGGGTGTACGTGCTTCCTACGTTATGGGAGGTGGCCCTCTCGGTCGGCAGGGCGGGAAAGTGAGGCGTTGGTAACGATCGAAAAAAATACCTTTGAAAAATCGTCGAACCATAAAATACCATATGAGGGCTTTTATATTTATAAAAGTATCTTTAAGGTACCTTTTGGCGATCTTCCATGGAGAAAAGATCTTCTACAATGTCTCCTAATTATAAGGCCCATTTGAGATGCCTTTCCTTAAAAGAAAACTATTTTGGACTCCTCCATAAATTGAAGATCTTTTAGGGGTCTTCTAAAACAGAAAATCTCTAAAGAATTCCTCCAATTTTTTGCCGAATGCCCAAAGAGGAATTCCCTTTCTCAGCGGCTTCTTTCATTCTCTTACTTCCCATATGTGTCTGTGTGTGTGTGTGTGTCTTTTTGTATTAGGGGAGGGCGGGGATAATTGCATTGCAATAAAATTCTTTTGTATCATTTTTTTTTTCGAACTTAAACAAATAAACCTTTCAAACCCTAATCTCTTCCATGGAGCCCTCTAATGGTATTCCAAACGAGCTCTGGGTTTGCCTTTGTCATCAACAAAAAATACCACAACCTTATGGGTTTTCTTAACCATGAACATGTCCTGCGGCGTTGTTTTCTTTCGTTGTTGTTGTAGTTATGGTTGTCATTGCGGTACTTGTGGTGGTGCTGGTGCTGCTGGTTGTTGTTGCTGTCATTACGGTACTGGTGGCATTATTCAATGTCATTTTATTCACAACAATCGAGGAGGAATTCGCACCTGACCCCACAGCCAACTTGGCAGGACCTCTACCATTTATCGTTGTTGTTGTGTTATTCACATTCGATGCTGTTACTGTTTCATTGGATAATTTTGAATTTCGTATCGTTGTCGGCGACTCGGGCTTTTTGGCCTCTATGTCTCTCTCCTTCTTCACTTCGTTGTCTCTTTTGCTGGGCTTCTTCTTCTCATCACCATCGAGTTTTTTATTCTCCAATATCCGTTTGATCATCACATCTTTACGTTTGGTTTTACCCTCATTAAAAGTGCTATCCTTGCGGATGATGGGTTTCATTTCCGGTTTGGGGGTTTGAGGTTTCGGTATGGCTGGCAGCTCGGGTAGTTCGCATTTCTTTTTCAAATAACGATAAACGGTAAGGACTCGTTCCACCAGACGATTGATGTATTTATTGGCGGTACGATCCACAATGGATGGGGCCTTAATGCAATCATTGCCACCGAATTCACAGACCTAAAGAGAGAGGTGGAGAGAGAGAGGGAGAGGATTTTCATTAACTAAAATCTTTTATAAACTGATGAAAGATATCTTACCCGGTAGTGTTGCAAAATGCCATCTGTTGGCGGGACGTTTAGAGATCCCTTACCAGGGGCATATTCCCAGACAAAATGATTGCCGGCCTCCACAACGGCTTCGGGGCGACAGATGTACTTGGAACGTTGCTTTTGGGGATGGAGTTTGAAACGTCTGAAATTTGAATAAATTTCGTGGTAATGTATCTTCATTGTCACCCAGCCGTGGATAAAGTATCTACATTATCGCCAAGGGGTAGATAATGTATCTACATTATCCGTGAGGTATATTTGGTGTGGATACTGCATCTACATTATCCCCAAGGCATGGATAATGTATCTACATTATCCGCAAGACCTGGATAATGTATCCACATTATCCCCAAGGCATGGATAATGTATCTACATTATCCCCAAGGCATGGATAATATATCTACATTATCCCCAAGGCATGGATAATGTATCTACATTACCCCTAAGGCGCGGATAATGTATCTACATTATCCCTAAGGCGTGGAAAATGTATTTATGGCAATGATAATGTTTGTAAATTATCCGTAAGGCATGCATAATGTATCTACATTATCCGTAAGGCGTGGATAATGTATCTACATTATCTGTAAGGCGTGGATAATGTATCTACATTATCCGTAAGGCGTGGATAAAGTATCTACACTATCCATAAGGCGTGGATAATGTATCTACATTATCCGTATGATCCTGATAATGTATCTACATCATCTCTAAGGCGTGGATAATGTATCTACATCACCTCTAAGGCGTGGATACTGTATCTACATTATCCCTGAGGCGTAGATAATGTATCTATGATATCCCTAAGGCGTGGATAATGTATCTACATTATCCCTAAGGCGTGGACAATGTATCTACATTATCCCTAAGGCGTGGATAATGTATCTACATTATCCCTACGGCGTGGATAATGTATCTACATTATCCCTAAGGCGTGGACAATGTATCTACATTATCCCTAAGGCGTGGATAATGTATCTACATATCCCTAAGGCGTGGATAATGTATCTACATTATCCCTAAGGCGTGGATAATGTATCTACTTTTACCCAAAGGCGTGGATAATGTATCTACTTTTACCCAAAGGCGTGGATAATGTATTTACATTATCCCTAAGGCGTGGATAATGTATCTACATTATCCCTAAGGCGTGGATAATGTATCTACATTATCCGTAAGGCCTGGATAATGTATCTACATTATCCGTAAGGCGTGGATAATGTATCTACATTATCCCTAAGGCGTGGATAATGTATCTACATTATCCGTAAGGCGTGGATAATGTATCTACATTATCCGTAAGGCGTGGATAATGTATCTACATTATCCATAAGGCGTGGATAATGTATCTACATTATCCATAAGGCATGGATAATGTATCTACATTATCCATAATGCGTGGATAATGTATCTGCATTATCCGTAAGGCGTGGATAATGTATCTACATTATCCGTAAGGCGTGGATAATGTATCTACATTATCCATAAGGCGTGGATAATGTATCTACATTATCCATAAGGCGTGGATAATGTATCTACATTATCCATAATGCGTGGATAATGTATCTGCATTATCCATAAGGCGTGGATAATGTATCTACATTATCCATAAGGCGTGGATAATGTATCTACATTATCCGCAAGGCCTGTATAATGTATCTACATTATCCATAAGGCGTGGATAATGTATCTACATTATCCATAAGGCGTGGATAATGTATCTACATTATCCAGAAGGCGTGGATAATGTATCTACATTATCCGCAAGGCCTGTATAATGTATCTACATTATCCATAAGGCGTGGATAATGTATCTACATTATCCATAAGGCGTGGATAATGTATCTACATTATCCATAAGGCGTGGATAATGTATCTACATTATCCATAAGGCGTGGATAATGTATCTACATTATCCATAAGGCGTGGATAATGTATCTACATTATCCGTAAGGCGTGGATAATTTATCTGCATTATCCCCAAGACATGGATAATGTATCCAAAAGCCTTAGGTGAAGTATCTTCATTTTCGTTTATTCTTTAAAGATTTTCTCACCTCCTCGTTTTCCTCTGTGTCACCAGGGCTGCTCTCAGCTTGGCCAGTTCCAAACTTTCACCCTTCTCCACTTTGGCCAATTGAGGATCATCGGCAAATTGCAGATAGAAGAAAGCATTCTGAAACGAATACGCTCCGGTATTGCGATTCCGCACCCGATTATTAAGAGAACTGAAAAATATCCAAACAATTAAATAACTCTCTTCCGGAAACCAACCATCCCACCAAACTCACCTCAGTAACTCATTCAATGTATCCACCTGTCGCGGTACAATAAACTCATCCAAATCCACCAGGGCCAAATATTTGTAACGGTACATGGTACGATATAAGCAATCATTTAATGCGGCAAAAAGGCCCTCCGTACGAATTTCTTTTGTGAACGCATGCGCAAATTCCAGGGTAAAATTTCTATGGTGGGCTTATGGTAGTTGGGGCTCTTGAGGATCTTCGGGGGTGGTGATGTGGCCGTTGGGGAATCTGCAAGAAACACTAAAAATGTAATCGGAACTTCGAACGCAAATCTTTAAATATCCACATACCTTGATACTTCCCCTTGGCCACTTCCATGATATCCTCTGCCGTTGAATTTCCCGGTACAATCGCCACGCACATAATGATCCAGGATGCAGGAGACATGCGGTCCAATTGTGTGATTATAAAATGTGAAATGCGACACCCCCATTAGGGAATAGAATTCTAAATATTCCATCAGAAAGAGAGACTGATCATAGTTGAAATGGAAGGGTTTTACACAGATGGCTATATCATCCTTGATATCGTTTTCCGTGGGGAACCTTGTCTTCACCGGCACTGGGACGGAATTTACTTTGCCATTGGAGGCTGAAGATTGATTCGCCGATTTACTCTCTCCCGTCACCGTAAAATCACGATCCCAATCTGTGTTACGTAGTTCTAAAATATTTCCAGGAGGTGCTCTTAGCCGCGCCACAATGCTCACATATTGAGGAACTTCATATTCTTGGGGACGTACGGGACACAGCACGAAGCATGCACTATATTTCAAGCTCCAATTTTCGCGGATGACCTGAAAGGGGGAAAAATTAATAATTTAACTAGATTGCTCAAAATTGGACGAACATTCTTGCAAAGTAGTGGAAGCTGATTATATTTATCCGTAAGGCGTGGATAATGTATCTACATTATCCCAAAGGCATGGATAGTGTATCTAAATTATGCCTAAGGCTTGGATCATGTATCTACATTATCCGTGAGGTGTGGATAATGTATCTACATTATCCGCAAGGCGTGGATAATGTATCTACATTATCCGCAAAACGTGGGTATTTTATCTATATTATCCCCAAGGCATGGAAAATGTATCTACATTATCCGTAATGCGTGGATAATGTATCTACATTATCCGCAAGGCGTGGATAATGTATCTACATTATCCGCAAGGCGTGGATAATGTATCTACATTATCCGTAAGGCGAGAATAATGTATCTACATCATCCGTAAGGCGTTGATAATGTATCTACATTATCCGTAATGCGTAGATAATGTATATACATTATCCGTAAGGCATGGATAATGTATCTACATTATCCGTAAGGCGTGGATAATGTATCTACATTATCGCCAAGGCATGGATAATGTATCTACATTATCCCAAAGTCATCAATAATGTATCTACATTATCCCCAAGGCATGGATAATGTATCTACATTATCCCCAAGGCATGGATAATGTATCTACATTATCCCCAAGGCATGGATAATGTATCTACATTATCCCCAAGGCATGGATAATGTATCTACATTATCCGTAAGGCGTGGATAATGTATCTGCATTATCCCCAAGGCATGGATAATGTATCTACATTATCCGTAAGGCATGGATAATGTATCTACATTATCCGTAAGTAGTGGATAATGTATCTACATTATCCCTAAGGCTTGGACAATGTATGTACATCATTCGAAAGGCGTTGATAATGTATCTACATCATCCGTAAGGCTTGGATAATGTATCTACATTATCCGTAAGGCATGGATAACGTATCTACATTATCCGCAAGGCGTGGATAATGTATCTACATTATCCGTAAGGCATGGATAATGTATCTACATTATCCGCAAGGCATGGATAATGTATCTACATTATCCCCAAGGCATGGATAATGTATCTACATTATCCGTAAGGCGTGGATAATGTATCTACATTATCCCAAAGGCATGGATAGTGTATCTAAATTATGCCTAAGGCTTGGATCATGTATCTACATTATCCGTGAGGTGTGGATAATGTATCTACATTATCCGCAAGGCGTGGATAATGTATCTACATTATCCGCAAAACGTGGGTATTTTATCTATATTATCCCCAAGGCATGGAAAATGTATCTACATTATCCGTAATGCGTGGATAATGTATCTACATTATCCGTAAGGCGAGAATAATGTATCTACATCATCCGTAAGGCGTTGATAATGTATCTACATTATCCGTAATGCGTAGATAATGTATATACATTATCCGTAAGGCATGGATAATGTATCTACATTATCCGTAAGGCGTGGATAATGTATCTACATTATCCCCAAGGCATGGATAATGTATCTACATTATCCCCAAGGCATGGATAATGTATCTACATTATCCGTAAGGCGTGGATAATGTATCTACATTATCCCAAAGGCATGGAAAATGTATCCTCATTATCTCCAAGGCATGGGTAGTGTATCTACATTATCCGTAAGTCGTGGATAAACGATAAACGTTATCCGTAAGAAGTGGATAATGTATCTAAATTATCCGTAAGGCGTGGATAATGTATCTACATTATCCGTAAGCGTAGATAATGTATCTACATTATCCGTAAGGCGTGAATAATGTATCTACATTATCCGTAAGGCCTGGATAATGTATCTACATTATCCGTAAGGCGTGGATAATGTATCTACATTATCCCTAAGGCATGGATAAACTATCTAAATTATCACAGAGGCAAAACTCACCTTTACTCTCGCCATCACAGTAACCGATGAATACTTCTCTCGCGCTCTCCCAGCACCCGCCGTCGTTGCATTCTTCGACACATACCAAAAACGACACCATACTCTCTCGGGACCTCGCGTCTTTGTCGCTCCAATAACGCGTACCAATTTCGCACCATCTCGGCGATCATAATACGCTGAGAATACGAAAAATTTGAAACGTGTACCGTTGACAATTTGCCACGAACCATCTGTTGGCTCCGAGCCAATTGGAAAATGAGGCAGGGAATCTTCTATTTTGGGTGGCAACATTTTACCCCACGGTATGAGGGGTCCATTGCCACCGGCCATTTGGGAGGCTGAACCCAGCCCCGTGCCACCACCTAGGCCCGCACCGGCATATGCATTGCCAACACTTTGGGAATTTAACAAGACACCGGCCAAACGGCCACCGTTATTGCTGTCAGCATCTGTAATCATGAAAAAATCAGGCAATGACATAAATTCTCTGGGTGTATTGTAGGGGTGAAGAGAGGCATGTAGATTTTTGGGAGGGCGCAGAATAGGCAAGGTTTCATTATTCAATTCATCTGCCCAGCACAAAGCCACACCACAGCATTAAGCAACCAGCCATGAATCAGGGCCTCCGGCCACCCTAGCCCACCTTTTGGACAAGCAATGAAAATATTTTTGCTGAAAAGTTTTTCGTTTTCATCGATGGTTTTTCTCGGTTGGTTTTATTATTTTAGTACTTCTTGTCCGCAATTTTTTTGGCATGTATTCAATTTTTCATTCATTGGAAAAAAGTTTGAATTGGTTATGCTAAGGCCAGGATTTGCTTTAGTTTGTTGTTGTTTTTCACCTTCTCGCCGGTCATATAACCAACTAACTATGTGTTAACGTTACGTTTATGTGCTGTTCTCCTCCTGTCCTCCTTATCCTCCTCCATCAGCCCCATCGCCGATAATAATTTAATATTTTACTCACCTTGAATTTTAAATTTATTGTCATGCAGCTGGACAAAACCCAATTTATTATCATTCAATAAACCAGCATCCAGCAGATCATAGTCATCCTAAATTGAATGGGAATCGAATGAAATTGAATTTTCCATTTGGAAAAATGAAAAATAAATATTGAATTAAATTTTAGAGCGTGATTGAATGATTGAATTGACATCGGATTACCTTGACGTTATCATAGTCGGGCATTGAATCACCAAATCGACCACCATAACCATTGCCGCTACGCATCATCATCATGCCGCCGTGGGCACGTTCGTCAATCATAAATAACTGCAAAAAAAAGGCGAAGAGATAAATGGATTAAAAATGTTGTGAGGATGGGAGGAAAGGAGAGTGTTCCACAAAGTCTTTGATAGAATTCATCAAAGTAGTCCGTTTGTAAAAATTATCCATGAAAGATTGTATAGGTCATATCGGCCCAGGAAAAAAGGGCTATAATAACCATTCAAAAGCGGAGAGTCCTTTTTCCACTGAGCATATAAGGTTTGATGAGACGGATTTGTCATCATTTTTAAAATATGTTTGCATAACAAAAATTCTCAGAAAATCTCTTTACAGGGCCTTTAATAATCACCTAAAACCTTAAATGTTGTTAGATTCATGGCAGGGCTTTAAAAACAACTACCGCACCTCAATTTAAAAAAGAAACACGACAAAGTTCGTAATATTTTAAAATAGTCTTGAAATTTCCAAGTTATCTAGGATATGTGCTAAGAAAAACGGGTCCGATATGCCCTTTTTCTGGAGCAGGTTCCAAATTATGAACCCTTCTGTGGGTACCTCTCCCGCAAAAGGCCCAAATTTTCATAGGAAACGATATAAGAAAAATCACTCGGTGATATAAATATTGCGATGTGCCAGGTTTGGATTCTATTGGTTACTTCCTTACTTTACAGGGTGAGATGAAAAAACTGCAACCAACTTCAGACTGCTGTCATTTCTAAGCCACTCGTCCGTGGTGGGAATTTTCCAGAAAAAAAGTTATTCGTAATGGAATTGGCCAAAGGTGACCAATTCGAACAAAACTAAACTTATTCTAAAATTTGATGACATTTCGGACATTTTTGCTTTCATTCAATAAAATGTAAAAAAGAATTGAAAATTATGTTCATGTAGAAGGTTCTCCCAATGACTTCGATAGAGGGCTCCTGAAATATTTTTTCCTTTATGGGATATATCTTGGTATTATGTCTTTCGAAGAAATGATCGAGGAATTCCACCAGTAGAAGAAATCTTTAAGGAACCTTGAAACTCCTTTTTCTATGTGTAGAGTGTCATTGATCGGACTTCCGTCTATAAAGGATACTTGAAAGGCCTTCAGCCAACATATCACAATTTTAGGAACTTCTATCTACACAGGAATTTTTTTCTATTTAAAAGGGCAACGGTCTCTCTTTTCTCACAATAAAGGACAGTTGAAGGTACTTTTGTCTTTATAGAATCTTCTGTCTATAGAAGTCCTTGAAAGCAGACAGAGGGTCTTCGATGATCAGAAAAACCTTCGAATACCTTCTGTTTTTTTGAAAACATTTTCATAGGCTTCTGTCTATACTGGTGGTCTTCTGGGGGGTCAGAAAGATCTTCTATTGACATAGGACCCTTTCAAAGACTTTTGTCTTCAGAGGTGATTTGTCGAGTACTTCTGTTTAAAAAATCCTTGAAAAAATAGTCTTCGGTTTTTAGAAAAAATGTTCAATGTGTTTTGAGGTCTTATGTCTATAGAGGACGTTAGTCAAAGTTTATAAAATGATCTTCTGAGAGCGTTAGTAGGTCATCTCTTTATACAGGCACTTTAAAACAACTTTTTCTTGAAAATGTCCAAAGGGTCTTCTATAGGCAAAGACCACTTCTGTCTTTAAAGGAATTTTTTCAGGAATTCTGTCGTAAAAATATTTGAAAAGAATAGTCTTCTGTTAAAAAAATCAATATTCTTCGAGGTCTTATGTCTATAAAAGACGTTAATCAAAGTTTATAAAGAGTTCTTCAGAAACCGTTGATAGGCCATCTCTCTATACAGGAACCTTAAAGTGACTTTTTTTCTGAAAGAGTCAGAAAGGTTATCTATAGACAAAGAACACTTCTGTCTTTAGAAGAAATTTTCCAGAACTTCTGTCTTAAACAATCCTTGAAAAGAAAAATATTTGAAGGTTCTTCGAGGTCTTATGACTACAGAAGACGTGAATAAACGTTTAAAAAATCTCTTCTGAGATCGTTTATGGGCCATCTTTCTATACAGGAACCTTGAAACGACTTTTTTTCCCGAAAGAGTCACAAGGGTCTTTAAAGACAAATAAAACTTATGTCCTTAGAGGACATTTTCCAAGAATTCTGTCTAAAAAAATCCTTTAAAAGAATGGTCTTCTATTCATAGAAAATATGTTTAAGGATTTTCGAGGTTTTCGGTTTATAGAAGACGTGAATAAAAGTTTATAAAAATCTCTTCTCAGATCGTTTATAGGCCATCTCTCTATACAAGAACCTTGAAACGACTTTTTTCCCGAAAGGAATAACACTTCTGTCCTTAGAGGATGTCTTTCGGCTCATGTTCTATAGAGGTTTATAAAAAAGCTTCTTCCTATGGAGAACACTTAAAAGGTCTTCCGAGGATAAAATAATCTTTTAAGGGCCTCCTGTTTTAGAGGGTCTTGAAAAGGCCTTGTGCTTATAGAGGATTCTTGAAAGCTCTTCTGTATTAAAGGGATCCCTTACAAGAAGATGTCAATAGAGAACCTTTCGAAGAACTTCCTTCTATAACGAAACCCTTCAAATATCTACAGTCTTTAAAAGCCCCTTGAACTGAATTCTGTCTATAAAGAACTCTTGAATGTCTTCTAAAAATAAAAAGATCTCGGTTTCAACTTTAGATTGTATTTCCAAGGTCCTTAGTCTATGGATGACACATTAAAGGTCTTATGTCTTTAAGGACTCTTGAAAATTCTTCTTTCTTACAGAGAGAGCTTTAAAAGAATTCTGTATATGAAGTATTCTAGAAATGCCAGAAATTCAGGTTTTTTTTATAGAATCCTTTAGGAAGAGAAGATCATTCAATGGCCTTGTAGCTATAGAGGATTATTCAATAACTTTTCTCTCTATAAATGATCCTTCCAGGGTCTTTTGTCTATTAAGGACTTCTTCGGTCTAAAAAAAAAATAGGACATAAAAGCACTTCTGTCTATTCTTGGGGAACGCTGAAAGTCTTATTCGATCTATATAGAAATCTTTAATGATTTTCGCTATGTAGAGGGTCCATGAAATGACTTCTATCAATTAGGACCCTTGAAAGGACCTCTATTTTTGGGACACTCGTAAAAAGTCCTCTGTCTATAGAGGGCTCCTAAATGGTCTATATAGGACTATTAAATGATTTTCTTTATAAAGAGTCCATGAAATGTCTTCCGACCCTTGAAAGGCCTTCTGTCAATAGATCTCTCTTAAAGATTCTTCTATCTGCGGGGGATCCCTAAACGGTCTATATAGGAATAATGAATGATTTTCTTTATAAAAGGTCCTTAAATGGACTATTATATGTTAGGAGCCTTCAAGGGACCACTGCCTATAGATTGCTCATGAAAAGTCTTAGGTCTATGAAGGTCCTTTGTAGAATTTTCTTTCTAAGAAGAACCCTTAAAATTACCTAAATATTTTCATTCTTTCTCTGAAGAATTCTTGAAAGACGAGCTATCAAAATATGATCTTAAAACATCTTCGGGGGACCCTTATGCAGAATTCTTGAAAGGCGAGCTTTCAAACTATGTGTACAAAAGACCCCTAAAAGATTTTCCCTCTCTAGAAACCGCATCTATCGTTAGAAGGTCTTCTAAGTTTGTTATGAGCCCCTATTTCTTCCATTACACCCATATATAATAACCCATATCCCTTTACTCACCTCCGTTAAAATAATCAAACCAAAGACGGCAAAAAACGCTATCACAATCAGGAAACTCATGCCGGTACGTTCGCGTGTACCCCAGTTATGTTTTTGTTACGTTTGGAGGAAGACGACAGTGACATGGAGAAACGGCCACCCGTACTGCTGCCAGAGCTGCCACCGTCTCCACGACCATGGTGATGGCCATGGCCATGATGATGCCCATGGTGATGGTAGTGTTGATGGTGCTGTTTCGAATCACCGCTTAACTTAGTATACTTCATGGTTGCTGCTTATCACAATTTTTTCTGAAGGAGTTCGATGATGAGAGGAATTTTTTAGTTTTCAATTTCGTTAGTTCTACGAGTGCTTCGTGGGAAGAGTGATTTTCATGAAAAATATGGAATCTGTGGTTGGTTGGAGCCCCCCAAGAATTTTTATACTAAAGCTTGATAGCTCTTCAAAACATGCTGAGGGGGGCTCCAGAATTTTTTGCAATGGAATATTAATGTCCTGTTGAGGAAAAGTTGTGAAAATTCCTTTTTCGAATTCCTGTTTGTTGTCCTCTTTTTTCCAACTGCCAAATTTGGCGTGGAGATTTGCTTGTTGTTGGGGTAACCTCCTTTGGCGTTGTTGATAAACAAAAAGTAATGCGTGCTTTTGTTGTTTTCCGTTTTTCTTTACTTTTGTCCTTGTCCTCCTTTTGTTTTGCTACGACACTCCCACACACACCAAAACACAGGCATGCAACAATTGTTCCCGGCTGCTGAGTAGTAGAGTTAAGGATTCGTCCTGTCACAAAATGCCGGTTTGTTTTGGGTTGTTATGGTAAACAACAGAGATAGAGACTGAGAGAGTCGGAGAGAGCTTCACTCGCCAAACAGGTGTTTTTGCCGTTTACTCTTTGTCGTTGCTATCCGTAACTCTTGCTGTTTCTCTGAGTAAATTTCGCTCTCTCTCTCACAGGATATTTTTGGATGTGTATATAGGAAAAATCAATAACACCCTTATTTGGTTGTCCACAAAATTTTGGCTTTTTGAGGATTCATGATTTCATGAAATTTGTTAAATTAACTTTTGCTGGAAAAGGATATGCACTTTTCTTTTTAAGGACTTCACAGGAAAATCACATTAGTATTTTGAACTATACACTAGCAATTTTTAACGACTTCTTATTAATTTCCTTTTCAATTACCACAATTTCTGGTTTTCAATTAGAACTTCATTAAGAACTTCCTGTTCGGTATCTGTGTGGAAGTTTTTTTTGCCTTGCAGTTTGCCAATCTTTTTCACTTCCTTAAATTTTCTAGAGATACTGATTCCTTTTTTTATGTGGGTGGTTTTACTTTTTTAATTATTTTTACAAATCTTTGCTATTTACAATTCACTTCTTTGGTTTTATTAAAATTTATTTTTTTATTAAAAAAAAAAATCTTTGTTTTCCTTGTTTTTTCTTCTGTCTTAACACACTTCTCACTTTGTCTAGAAATTTTCATCAACTGTCACTATTTTCTTTTCGCTTCAACAGTTTTCTTTTGACTTGCTAAGGATGACATTCAATATTTTACTTTTGGGCATGCGCCAGAAGTCCTTGAGATGAGAGAACATGGAGTTGCCAGTTTCAAATTTAGCAAACAATTAGATGAAAAACGCTAAAGGAGCAACATTTAAAATTTTATTTATTTTTTTAAAGACTCTAAGAGATATAAACAAATTTAAAATTTTTTTCTCAAAGACCTTCCATAACCGTGGATTTCTTAAAAATATCTTTTATAGGATCCCAAGAGCCTTACACTTGGATTTTTTATTAAAATATTTTTTCACATTCACAAACGTGGATTTTTTAAAAATACTTTTAAAGGACCTTCCACAAACGTGACCTTCTAAATTTTTTTAAAAATATGTTTTCAAGGATCCCAAGGACCTCCAAACGTGGATTTTTTAAAAATATGTTTTCAAGGACACCAAGCACGTCCAAACGTGGATTTTTTAAAAGTATTTTTTTCAGGATCCCAAGAACCTCCAAACGTGGTTTTTCAAAAATATACATGTGGATTTAAAAAACTCCCAGAGGTATAAGCGTGGATTTTCCAAAAATAATTCTTCAAACGCCTTCCAAAGAGATGAACTTTTTAAAAATATTTTTTAAGGGCCTTCCAACAACGTTATTTTTTAAAAATATTTTTTCAAGGACCCTCCATAAACATGGATTTTTTTAAAAATATTTTTTCAATGACCTTCCACAAACATGGATTTTTTTAAAATATTTTCAAGGGCCTTTTAAACACATGGATTTTATTAAATTTTTTTTTGAACTTTTTTTTAAATATTTTTATTGGATTTTGGATTTTTGTAAATATTATTTTCAAGGGCTTTGCACACGCGTGGATTTTTCAAAAATATTTTTAAAGGCCTATTCACAAACGTGGATTTTTTTAAAAATATTTTTTCAAGGTCTATTCACAAATTTGGATCTTTTAAAAATATTTTTTCAAGATCTATTCACAAACGTGGATTTTTTAAAAATATTTTTTCAAGGTCTATTCACAAATTTGGATCTTTTAAAAATATTTTTTCAAGATCTATTCACAAACGTGGATTTTTTAAAAATATTTTAAATGACCTTCTAAACGTGTTTTTTTTAAATATTTTTTCAAGGACCTTCTAAAAATTATTTTCTTTCTTAAAAATATTTTTAAGGATCCCAAGATCCTAAAACGTGGATTTTTTTAAAAGAATTTTTTCTTTTCTTCTAAAATTTTAAAAAATATTTTTCAAGGATCCCTAGAGCCTTAAACGTGGATTTTTTTAAAAATATCTTTTCAAAGACCAAAAGAACCTTAAACATGGATTTTTTTAAATATTTTTTTCAATGATCACATGATTTTTTTAAATATTTTTTAAGAATCCCAAGAGCCTTAAACGTGGGTTTTTTAAATATTTAAGGACCTTCTACAAACGTGGATTCTTTAAAAATATTTTTTCAAGGTTTCTTCACAAACGTGGATTCTTTAAAAATATTTTTTCAAGGTTTCTTCACAAACGTGTATTTTTAAAAAAATAAGGACCACAAGACCCTTAAACGCGGTTTTTTTTTTAAATATTTTTCCAAGGACTTTCCACAAACGTGGATTCTTTAAAATATTCTTTCCTGGCTTATTCACAAACGTGGATTTTAAATAAAATTAAGGACCACAAGAGCCTTAAACGTGGATTTATAAAAATTTTTTTAAGGTCTATTCACAATTTGTATTAAAAAAAGAACCACAAGAGCCTTAAACGTGGATTTATAAAATATTTTTTTAAGGTCTATTCACAATTTGTATTAAAAAAAGAACCACAAGAGCCTTAAACGTGGATTTAAAAAAAAATAGGGACCACAAGAGCCTAAAACGTGGATTTAAAAAAAATAAAGATCACAAGAGCTTTAAACGTGGATTTAAAAACAATAAGAACCACAAGAGCCTTAAACGTGGATTTAGAAAAATATTTTTCAAGGACCTTTCTGATATGTTAATTTTTTATAAATATTTTTTCCACGACCTTTCACAAATGTGGATTTTTAAAAAATATGTTTTCATAGTTTATTCACAAACGTGGATTTAAAAAAAATTAAGGTCTACAAGAGCCTTAAACGTAGATTAAAAAAAATTAAGGACGATAAAAGCCTTAAACGTGGATTAAAAAAAATTAAGAACCACAAGAGCCTTAAACGTGAATTTAAATAAAGTAGGGACCACAAGAGCCTTAAACGTAGATTTAAAAAAATAGGGACCACAAGAGCCTTAAACGTAAATTTAAAAAATAGGGACCACAAGAGCCTTCAACGTGGATTTAAAAAAATAGAGACCACAAGAGCCTTAAACGTGAATTTAAAAAATATTTTAAAGTCTACACCTAAGTCTGTTTTTACACGGTAGATTGGTTCCAGAGGAAGCCGTGTAAAAAAAAAAACCGTGTAAAAAAGACATTGATCTTATACAAAAATGGGTGATTTGTTCCTAATTTCTAAAACCTATTAAAATTTGTGAAAAACAAGAATTTTTATTTTTTTCTTTACCAAACACGTCTTATTGCATTAACAGTTCACAAAATATTAACACGTTTCAATTGCTCTGACCAGTAAATTTTATTGTATGCACATAGTGCTATTCACATTTGCTTTGACCAGTAAAAATTGTTTGTACGCGCTAAAGGGGAATTCACTTAAATCTTTAAGCTAGTGTTCGCAAACTATCGATACTCGCGATGGTTTCAGACTTTTTTCTTTCATAAATACTTTTTGTGATATGAACATACTTCGCAAAAATTAAATTTGACAAAAAAATTTAAGTACATAAAATTTCAAATCGTGCTAGGTGTATTCACAATCTGGATTTAAAAAAATATGGACCACAAGAGCCTTAAACGTAAATTTAAAAAATTAAGGACCACAAGAGTCTCAAACGTAGATTAAAAAACAAAATAAGGACCACAAGAGCCTTAAACGTGGATTAAAAAAAATTAGGGAGCACAAGAGCAGTAAACGTGGATTTAATCAATATTTTTTAAGGGCTATTCACAATTTGGATTTTAAAAAAATAAGGACCACAAGAGTCTTAAACGTAGATTTGAAAAACAAATGACGACCACAAGAGCCTCAAACGTGGATTAAAAAAAGATCACAAGAGCCTTTAATGTAGATTAAAAAAATAAGGGACACAAGAGCATTAAACGTGGATTTAGAAAAATATTTTTCAAGGACCTTTCTGACATGTTAATTTTTATAAATATTTTTTTCCTCAAAAGGTAAATTTTTATAAATATTTTTCGGGACCTTTCACAAATGTGTACTTTTTAAAACATTTTTTTAAGACATTTTTTATGGACCCCAAGTGTGTCTGAATGTGGATTTTTTAAAAATATTTTCTCAAGGTCTATTTACAAACGTCCACAAACATGGATTTTTTTAAAAAAGATATTTTCTCAAGGTCTATTTACAAACGTCCACAAACGTGGATTTTTTAAAAAAATATTTTTTCAAGGTTCAAATATAAACGTGAATTTTTTTAAAATTATTTTTTCAAAGACCTTCAATTTACGTGGATTTTTTTAAAAATATTTTTTAAGGGCTTTTAACTAACTTGGATTTTTTAAAAACATTTTTTAAGGACCTTTAATTAACGTAGATTTTTAAAAATATTTTTAAGGACCTTTAATTTACGTGGATTTTTTAAAAATATTTTTTTAACAACCATCCACTAACGTGGAATTTTTTAAAAATATTTTCACAAAGAACATTCCACAAACCTGGATCTTGCAAAAATGGCTTTTCAAGGGCCCTTAACAAACGTGGATATTTTAAAATATTTTTTTTTCAAGAGCCCTTTACTAACATGGATTTTTTAAAATATTTTTTTAAAGGACCATGCACAAACGCTAATTTTTTAAAATAATTTTTCAAGGACCATCCACAAACGTTGATTTTTTACAAATATATTTCAGGGACCTTCAGAGCCAATAACGTGGATTAAGGACTCCAAGAGATATAACCGTGTGCCATTTTGGAAATATGAAATGAAATAAGTGAAAATAATAAAAAAAGCGCTAAAAGTGCAACACCCTTTTTTAAATAAACTTGTTTTTGTTTAAATGTGTATTTTTAAATAATATTATTTCAATATAATCTTGGATTTTTTAAAAAATACTTGTTGATGCAACTTCACAATCGTTGATATTTTAAAACAATTTTCTGGGAAAACATCATGATAGTGGATTTTTTTTCAATATTTTCCAATCAAGATTTTTCAAAGACATTTTTTATGCAAGTTACACATTAATTTTAATTTTTAAAAAGCACTTCTTTCGCGACTCCTAATTTTCTATTTTTAATATTTTTCCAAGCAACACCATAATCGAAGGATCTTACAAATATCTAATTTTTTCCCAGCAAAAACACATTTTTTAATTATTTTTAAGGTTTTGAGGAATATTTTTTAATCAATGCACAATCAGGGATTATTTTTTTTTTCAAATTCACCCAATAGTGGTTTAAGTTTTTTTTTCTTTTTTCATTTTTTTAATAACCCAAAAATCGCTGAGAGCGAGGCTAATAATCGTTTTTTTTTTTTTTAATTTCGTCACTTTAATTTTTCTTTAAAAAATATCGTATTAGAATCAATATATTTCCGCTCACAAATCCTCCGCCAACAACAATAGCCATCTACTTTTAATCGAACTTTTAATCCATTCGACCCACATGCTCCATCAGACCAATTGCTTGACCTCATCATCATCATCGAACCATTAAACTGTCTGATTTAACCTGATATGGCGGATGACGTTCGCCAGTTGACGATAGTTGGCGT